ATCTTAGAAATACGTCATTTCTTTTTCTTAATTATTCAGTATTCTACCTAATGGTCAGAAAATTTTCGTGACAGACGCGCGATTCATGTGGGCACGAGTGATTTTATGTTGTTTGTTCTCGTCAGAATTGCATACTTACACCACTATCAGTAACTGCTCTCATTATCATTTTACCTATTTTCTCGTAAGAGAGAACGCGCTGCGTGATAAGACCAAACAACGGCAGCGAAGGAGACTAAACTGATAGCGTGATAGTCCCAAAGGTAAACGGTTGTTGACGCCATAGGTTTTTTTTTAGCAATGAAGATGTCATCCGGTCTTGTCCGGAGGTTCGTGATGAAGTCACTTAGTAGCTGAGGATCAGATGTGAAATACGCTTGAATTTTCAAGCCCAAAACTTTACGGAAATTTCCTGTTGTGTAGTCACCTTCTCTTACTTCAGTGACTTCAGAACTGGTCATGATCAGCAGAGCGCACGGCAATGATAACGGGTCACGTACCATGAATCAGTGCTGCACATCGTTCTGTCAAACAGCCAATACAAGACGACCGCTGACGTATATTGTGACACAGAGAGCGAGGGCGCAAAACTAATTTTGGTGTGTTCCATGTTCATTTGTTTGTTTGTTTTCTTTTTTTAGGATTATTATCACAAATGAACGAAATAATAACCCATATTTTTCCCTGTGGATGACAATGAAAACAAAATGATCGTCATCATGGAGCTTCAAGAAATTGCAGCAAAAAATTTGCCTCGTGCCCAACATAAGGCTTGCTAACTTGGTAATAGCGCCAACTTGTAACAGGTGGGCACGAGTTGCATCACCGTCGAAGTGTGTTCGAAGGCTGATATTTTAAGGCTTCTTTCCTTGCAATCTCTTACCAGTTAGAATAACTTTGTCATTTAAAATCATACGCAGGTCGCTGAAAATCTGATTTATTTCGGTAATTGGTAACTTCTATTAAAAATCATTGTACGAGTGTTGGAAACAAGGCAACAATAGCTGGCTTCAAATTCAAAATATCCTCAACGAATTCAACAATCAATAAGACAGACGCAACGCAAGAAAATCAGTGACACATTTACCTGCGGTCAGCTGTGCAGCACTCTTTTATTCAGTTACACGGTTTGTTATCATCTTTGATCAATAACACATCACACAGAGCACTATGGAACCTACGTGTTAAATGAAAGAAACTTCCTAAGAAAAAAAAACACTTATTGTCTGGTAGAGATCCAAGCTGCCTCTCGTCCATTGTATTTTTTTGGTCATTCAGCCTTTCCTTCTCCTTTTTGCAGTTACATCTAATGTCAGGATGTAATCCTTATTGATTGAAATCCCGGGCTTAAAGTGAGTTTTCGTGCGATACTAGGATTTAAAAGACTGATACCCAGTCACGTGACCTTACGGAGTAAACATATTTTTATTTCCTTCTTTGTCTCAGTCGTTAAATTTACGTAGCGTCTTCACAACCGAACATCCACTACGAAGAGATTACCTATGAAAACCAATTATAACTCAAAATCAAACTCCAATCCAGTTCCTTCTATTTTTGACAACACCTCCTTCTCAAATCTCTCATTCAACTCTGGAGTAAAATAATTCTTCCAGTCTCCGACCACGCCCTTCCGAAGAATCGAGGTTTGGCCTTCATTGAAGCGCACCGTGTACCTTGATAAATCTTTTGTCATCCCATTGAAACTGCACTGTTCAGCAATACGATTAATGATATCCTCTGAGAGCGGCTTGTTAAGGAAGTTGGCAGTCAATCGAACTTGTGAAGGTAGATCCTGAATAAAATATACATTATGATTTAAAATCTGTTCTCAGGGCTGTTTATTACACCTTTTGCTGTTCATTTACGCAAAATGTACATTCATTTACGTCAACAGTTGAAACTATACGGCAAGTATACATTCATTAGCACTTCCATGAACTTCATTAACGCGAACGAACTTTCAACAACGCTATTTGCAAATGTATTAACATTCAATAGCATCAACGGATGAACAATTGCACCTTTGGACAATCAAACATAACAAATATACTTTCAATCTCGCGCAGTGGTTGATCATTAACACTGATAGAAAATCAATTGCATAGTATGACAGTCAATTGCGTATTAAAGACATACAATAATACGATTTTCATAGAGACGCACACTCAATTGCACCTTCATACAATCGTTTATTCAAAATGGTCAATCATTAACGTGAACAGACAAACGTGTGTAGTAATAACAATCAACTGAGGAAAAAGAAATTTCAAAAGTGTTCTATTACAGTGCATTGTAATGTAATGTTTTGTAATTATCCTTCAATTTCTTCATTAATTAAACATCTTGGAATGTACGTTTGCATAAATCTGTACCACTGTCCACATTTAGCAGCCGTGATAGTGCCTGTTTCTCTGCAGGGCCTGAAGTGTAGCAATTGAGTGCGGAAGTTGCCTAGCGTGATTCCTTGTCGTCTTACCTCAGCTCTGTTGTTCATCTGTTCTTGCTGCTCTGGACGACTTATGTCCGCTTTTATGGCTGCCTTTAAGGCACTTATTGCTTGCTCTACAATGTTAAGAAACGGGCTGTATGGTGGTAGCTTTTTCAGGTCAGAATTAGGACCAGGAATGGCAGGATTGTTGTGGGCTGATGAACCGTCATAAATGAAAATCACATATTCATTTGGGTCGAGAGTTAGACTTTCCTGTGACAGAAAATCATTAAATCTTTGTCCATTCATTCCACCGAGAAATGCCGAGTGAAAAATGAGTCCATTGGTGGGTGAAATTGCCAGTGGTACAGTAACATTTCTCCCTCGCTGACCACATACTTGTCGATATGCCCTCTCTCCCATCCTTGCTCGTCCGTGACTTCTTGCCGTCCAAATATTGTACCCACACTCGTCTACAAATATACTTTGATTCACTACAGCATGGCGCATGAACCAGTGGGCACAGTCGACTCTTTTTTACAGGACATCAGGGCGGTTTCGTTCAACTCGGAGTGCCCTTGCCAATTTTACACGATACAACATACCTTCAAGTGTTCTTGCTACTGCACGGTCATGGATTGTTGGTTTTCTTCGAAGACGCTTTCTCAATTCTTGATTTATCTGTGCTAGTGTTAGCAGGCAATTTTGGTTCAAAATGTCATTCAGGCAATTCATCATTTCATCATCTACTCGAACATGATTTGCTCCCCCTCGTGGTCTCTCCGCGATCCTTCCCTCTCGCAACTATCGGATAACGCTTCTTGCCGTTGATCGGTTCACTCAGATAGTAGCGGCAACCGTTAAATAATCTTCATTAACATCTTCAGAGGCTTGAACAATTCTTAGTCGCTGTTCAAGTAGGATTCTGTTTCTTGGTGGCATGATTTTCTTCGGTTATTTGTGTCTCCAACGCGTCTACTTGTTCATACAGCGTACACTGTTTCTTACAGCGTACTGTACATGTAAAATGTTCTTCATTTTTTATCTGCTTCAGCAAAATATTGTGCAAAAAAAAAAACACCAGATGAATGATAATGAACATACTCTTGTATTTTTGTTCAGTATTTTAAAATAATGTAACAACGATGAATGATACTTATGAATATTTTTTCTTCCTATAGTTTATTCGAAAAACACCAAGTTTATTAGTTAACGTTAATGATTGACCATTTTGAATAAACGATTGTATAAAGGTGCAATTGATTGTGCGTCTCTAGGCATATTATATTATTGTATGTCTCTTAGATGCAATTGATTGTCATACTGGCAATTGATTTTCTATCAGTGTTAATGATCAACCACTGCGCGAGATTGAAAGTATATTTGTTATGTTTGATTGTCCAAAGGTGTAATTGTTCATCCGTTGATGCCATTGAATGTTAATACACATGCAAATAGCGTTGTTGAAAGTTCGTTCGCGCTAATGAAGTTCATGGAAGTGCTAATGAATGTAGTTTGCCGCATAGTTTCAACTGCTGTCGTAAATGAATATACATTTTGCGTAAATGAACAGCAAAAGGTGTACGTCCGTATGGTATTTACGCACCCGTCGGTATTTTGAAGTCTTCTGTGATCTATTTCTGAACAGCCTCACGGCAACATCTAATTTATTTGCTTCACTTTTTGTTTTACTAACAAACCTTTTTGAGATCTTCATATTTTAGAAACAAGACGTTAGGATCATCTTTGTGCTTCCACCAGCCCAGAACATGGTCATTCCATTTGTTCCAACCAACTGTTAATGATATGCAATACAACACTATAAGAACGAGCCTGATTTGTTGAGGCGAAAGAAAGTGTGATGTTTTAATCTATCAGTTTACGTTAAGTTCTAACAAAGTGCACCAACAAGCTCCAAAAGCATTGTCTTAAATAACAATTTTGGAGACCAGTTGAGGATGGAGAGTGTTTAATCTTCGTTCCACTCAACTATACCTCCCTTGTACAAGGGAAAAAATCAGGTCAAGAAAATTCGTTTCTAATTTCTCCATGATAGCCACCATGTAGTTAATTGGGGCCTGGTCATTATTTATCGATTTATCGTAGGGATATTGGGAGGGGGGCGGGGGTTTGCAGGATTTTGGTTGTGTCATTAAAATTGATCTGCCCATACGGCGAGGTTATATCCTTATCATCCCCCACCCCTCTCATTGGCAATTTGTTAGCAGTCAAACTTCTCTAGGCCCCACTTTTATACTATTTTGGCGACGACTTATCCCCCCTCTGTTCCCTCTGAAAACCATGTGATCCCCCCAAATCTTCGCCCCCAACCTCCCCCCACCACCAAGGCGATAAAAAGTGACCGACCTGATAAATCTTACCATTTCCGTCGATGAACAACTTGGAAAAAAATTCCCATGGCCCATTGTAGCCATTTCCAAATGACGTCAGGCTCACCGTGAAATGGAAATATGAAACTGCAACATCCTTTGGATTACGGGCAATGTAAATGTATTTACATTTGGCGCCGTCGCTTGAACCTTTAGGAATGATGCTGTAAGAAAGGTGGGACTTCATAAGGCGAGGGCTGGGAACCTTGGCGATGTCCGCAAACTCTCCCAATATGGGACTTGTTGAAAATTCTAGGAATGGAACTCGTTCAAAAATATTTTTACTTGTGTTCTCCCCGTTGTTATAGATTTGCCAGATAATCTCTTGCATCCAAGTTGTCCCTGAAGAAAAAACCGGCAATTTTGAAAATTTGCGTTCGTTGTTGATCTGATTTATTGATTTACTGATTAATTAACTAATTAATTAATTAGGCAAGTCTTGTCAAAAAATTAAGTGACCCAAACTGCACGAATTTATATCAGTTCGACCAATTCGCTAAGGTAGGATTCTTATTTACTGCTGGAACCCTCTGCAATTTCCTTAACAGTTCGGTGATACTCATTTTATTTTGTTCTGAAGCAACCGAAGAGGGGTCGGAATCTTGAATCCTCGAATCTGATTGGCTAATCACACGCTCGTAATCAGTCTGGCTCTTTAAAAATCGGACAACGATCCAGTTTTTTTCCGCGCCATTTGCAAAAATTGTAAAAAGGTAGACCCGTGTGGTGTTGTAGTTGTGCCTTCCGTTGTAGTTATGTCATCACACCTAAAAATCAACAGAATTCAATTTTATTTTTTCCAATCAAAGTGCGTTGTGATCGTGTCTTCTGCGTATCACTTCCCAGCTAGGGGAAAGAAGTAATGCAAAAGTGTAAGAAGTCCTCGCTCGAAGTTTGAGAATTTCAAAAGGGGTAAATTCTGTGAAATTCATCATTTTAGTAGAATATATCCTACTGACTTGCCGTAGCCAACTTTACTCCGATTTTCCATTTGATCACTGTGTGAATTTGTTATAAATGGGGTAAATTATGACAGATCCACCCACAAGTGCAATATATCCTACAAAGAGTTAGAAACAGTGCTGAAAAAAGAACACAAAACATCAACAACAACAAATACATTGTATATATTAACAATCCATAGTTTAAGAACCCATGTGGTATATCTTTACCAGCGACATCCTATTTTCAACATTAACATTCATTCGTCTGCGATTGCAAGAGAACTGATTTTATTTAGACGCAAGAGACTTTGAGAAGGTTCCACAATAAAATAGACCGACGAAGCGTCGTCACTGATTATTCACCCCTGTGTCTCGGTCCGTATTTTTTGTTAGGTAATTGAAAGATGGGATGGAGAGCGAGCATGCCTCAGGCATGTATATTCGTGAACGGCTACCGTACTGGTTTTCATGTGATGTACGTGCTCATAAGTTTCACGAGAGGAATTTGGTTTTCAAAGATCATTGTCTTTCAAATCAGCTTGAAGCCCTCTGTAGGATAACAACAAACCGCTCTGTGACAGTATAAAATGTGCAGTTGGCTGTAATAGCTAAAATCAGCTGAACCGCAATAAAATTACAATCTACTGTACTACTTCAACTTTTCTAGCGGAGGGCTCAGCAAATCAGGATGAAGCGTCAAAAATATGTAATTTTATGTTGACGAACCATAATATATGATCTTCAACTACACCTTTTGCTGTTCATTACGAGAAAATACGCATTCATTTGCGTGAAAAGGCGAACAATTGCGTGCAAATACATTCACTAACGGTAAAAACGATTATTTGCGCGTAAATCAGATTCAATAACGATTTTTGCATTTTAATCAGCATTCAACAACAATTTTGGGCATTCTTATGCGACATTCGTCAAACAAAAGAGAAAAGTACTTTCATTTGCGTTAACATTCAAGTCATTCACACCATCTTGAAATTCAATAGAGACAATACATAATCAATATCGTGCATAAACCATTCATTAACATTTTTATAACACTGTTTGCAATTCGATAGCATTCCTGGACGGCATTAATAGGAGAAAGACAATCATTGATGCACTCGTACAAACAATTCGGTGTTTTTTATATTCAATATGCAAGAAGTGATTTTCAACTGAACACCGATTTTGCCAGAACTTGCATTCAGTAAATTTCGTCCCCTTCATTCGCTTTGTAAAGGTTTTCTGAACGCAGGCAAAATGCCACGAAGAAATCGAATATCACTCGAACACAGAGAGAGAATCGTGAGAGGATTTGAGGACGAGGAGGAAGATTATCTTGTGGTCGCGGAAACGCTCAGAGTGAACCGCTCAACGGCAAGAGGCATTGTGGCGTGCTACATCAGAGAGGGCAGGATCCAGGAAAGACCACGAGGAGGTTGAAACAACGTGCGCGTGGACGAAGAGATGAGAGATTGCCGAGAGGAAATCATAAACGAAAACTGTTTACTCACACTTGCTCGGATAAACAGTGGACTGAGGAGTCGGCTACCACCAAAATCTCAGATCCATGACCGCACCGTGGCAAGGACATCAGACGGGATGCTTTTCCGAGTGAAACTTGCAAGGCCCCTCCATGCGGACAGGAACAGACCTGGTGTGATGAACAAGCGAGTGGATTACGCTTCCTGGTTTATGAACCATGCCGTAGTGTGCCACTGTGTGTTTGTCGACGAATGCGGCTACAACATTTGGACGGCCAGAAGCCACGGTAGAGTGCGACAGGGAGAGAGGGCGTACCGTCAAGTATGCGACGAGGACGAAACTTGACTATGACAATGGCAATTTCGCCGATCAATAAACTTGTGTTTTCCTCAGCAGCTCTTAGCAGAATCAATGCTGCGCGTTTTGATAACTTCCTGGCACAGGCGAAGACAAATCTAGATTCCGACGAGGAGGTGATCTTTGTGTATGACGGAGCACCGGCCCACCGAAACCCGGTCATTCCCGCCCCAAACACAGCGCTTAAAATGCTTCCTCCCCACAGTCCTTTCCCAAACATCGTGGAGCAGGCAATAAGCTGTCTGAAAGCGGCGATCAAGGCTAACATCTCGCGTCCGGAAACTCAAAGACGCATGGATAACTGAGATGAGGCCAAAGCCAGAGGAATCCCACTGGGGGAGTTTCGAAAACAGCAACTGCTTGAGGCTCTGCACAGAAACATCGACATTGTGACCGCGGCTAAAAGTGCACAATGGTACCGCTCTATGCAGACCTATCTGCCAAAATGTTTGAATAGAGAGATTATTGAAGGGCAAACTGAAATTCAAAACAAGATAATTTTGGAATAGGTATTTTTCAATTGGAATTCGATGTTTGAATATTGAAAATAAAAAACGCTTAATTGTTTGTAAAAGCGCATAAATGATTGTCTTATTCATACTTTATGCCGTCCAGGAATGCTATTGAATTGCAAACAGCGTGATAAAAATGTTAAAGAATGGTTTATGCACGATCTTGATTATGTATTGTCTCTATTGACTTTCAAGATGGTGTAAATGACTTGAATGTTAGGGCAAATGAAAGTATATTTTTCTCTTTTGTTTGACGAATGACGCTTAAGAATGCCTAAAATTGTTCTTGAACGCTGATTAAAATGCAAAAATCGTTAATGAATCTGATTTACGTGCAAATGATGGTTTTTTGACTCTAACGATTGTATTTCCACGCAATTGTTCGCCCCTTAACGCAAATGAATGCGTATTTTCTCGTAATAAACAGCAAAAGGTGTATTAAAGGAAATAAAACAATTGTGATGTGACGTCGTATAGGCCTATTGGAGTGAGGCTGAAGGTGACCTTGCTGCTCAGCACATTTTGAAAAGGCTAGCTGTAACTGAAAGAAAAGAGGCCGAAAGAAGATTTTCTTCTATAAGTGATGTTTTGTCATTTAAACTAAACAGTCATAGATCATGGCATCTGAAATAAATTAGTACATCCTGCATTAAGAAATCCGACATGAATCAGTCCCTCATGTTGTTTTCAAGCTTGATTGTATTTAGCACATTAAAGAACACAGAATTTACGTTACATTGGCACGACGTCTTTTTAGCACTTTACCGATAGTTTCGTACGTAACCATAAGTATTCTTATTTTAGCACTGCGAGTTGATCAAGCGGTGACCACAGTGGAGAAGATAGTGATGACTCATCGTCTGATGAAGGCTCTCAGGTATTCATCATTCAGGCAGAGACCAGTATCCAGTTAGCATGATAACAAAGTAATCTGCATTTGAAAAGCAGTAAGAAGGTTTGTATCATGACTAGACGCAAAGGTGCGTTCACCCGGGCTTTCTTTGTAAATAAACTTTGTTTTTTGCCCTTGCATTTGCCTAAGTTTTTTTTATGCAATTATTGGTTTATCCCTTCTGCTCTTGTTCCCTAACCTTTCCAAACTTAGAATTAGTATTCCGCTTGGTTCACGATCACGTCTACATACACGATGAGATTTGCGTCTATGCTTCTCTTGATTAACATTAGATAGCTTATTTGATATAGCATGTTTCTCGATGAAAGGTTCACTCATAAATGTTCGCTCATAAAGAGATCTCTCATAAGGTTCGCGGACCGGCCTGTTCCGAAAACGCTAGATATCTCTTAGTGTGGGTGTACCGCGAACGATGTGTGCATATTTTGTATGCGTTTTTAGCGTATTATACACAGTGTCTGTGCTCATTTTGCACCGCGAAAGCCTATCTTCGTCCGCCACTACACCATGCCACGTGCTCATTGGTCAAAACGTCGCGAATACGTCAAAGTCAAAGTCGTGATGAGGACTTGACTGCGATTTGCGACCGAACGCAAAAAAAATGAAGCCGGAATTTCAACTCGGGCCTTTCCTTTGGAAAGCCCGAGTAACAATGTCAACCTTAGCCTCACTCCTGTTCAAAGGCTTAGCAACCAAGCACACAACTGTAAACTGGACTAATATATACTATTATGCTTTTGTCCTAGCTTGTGGATAAAATGTTGTCATTGGAGTCGCAAGTCAAGCAACGAAGACTGTAAATAAAACAAGACTGCAAATAAAGCGTGAATAACGCATCCTTTGGTCGAAAATCGCTTTTTTATTTAGGCGGCAAGTTTTTCTTCCACTTTTAGGTTTGGGGTATAGTTTACGATGAGGATTAAGTTCCCCCCTTCTATAACCCTTTTTTAATAATAATATGTTATTATTTAAATAAAGTTGTTATATATATATATATATATATATATAACAACAATGGGATCACATGGCGTCAACGAAGAAACGATAGAACTTAAAGGGAAGTATCTGGTTCGCAATGACCAAGCGTTTTGGCACAGTTTGAAAGTTAAACCTTTTTTATATTTTCACAAACCTGACTTGGGGTAGGTAACCACGAACACATCTTCAGCTCTCGTTTGGAAATTGGAGATGACGTCGGACAGTAACTTAGGGTTGGGAGTAAAAAATACTGGAATTTTCATGCCTAAAACATCAAAATACTTCTCCGATGTCCACTCATTTACTTTCACTTGGAAAACAGGCAAACTTTCCATTCCCGTTGTGTAAGCAATGCGATTATATGATTCAACAGCAATTGGCCTCTGATGTGGCTACGAAGGTTACGCGACTGTGTTCAAAGCAGGGCAAATTTCCTTAAGTCACCCGAATGCTTTTTTTTTTTTTTGGGATCACTTTCTGAAGGAGCTTAGAAACCAGGCTCAACTCAGTAGCCAAGCCTACTAGATTTGTGCCCAAGCCTTTTCTTGCTTGCGTGACCTTTTTTGTCACATTAGAGAATACAAGGAACTTCGGCGAGTAGTAAACACAAGCTCAAATTTTTAAAGCAGCAAAGAAGAAAACTTTTTGAGACTGGAAGGTAAGTAAGTAAGTATTTTGGTGTTTTACAACCTAAATTTAGCGTTTCCTTTTGTAATTTTACAACGTACAGTAAATTGTCAAATCAATAACTCGAAAAGCTTACAGCTAAAATTTAACTCTTTATTAATAACTTATACTTTCTTGATCTGATATCTCAATTAGCGATAACACCAGAAGTAATTTGCTTTTGTGGTATATACTATATGTATACCTTACTTGTTGAAGTACGTTGTCATGAAATAATGCACTTAGCAACAATTAATCTGATTACACAAAGCTGAGTCAATGTTTAAATTGTTCCCTGGACTGCCTGGACATCTGAGGCAACTGATAATGCATTTTGGGAGTGGTAGGGATGCTTACTTCATAGTGGCTATGGCTGTACCTGTCCTTGAATTTGCCCTGTTGTTTGTCATAGATTTTCCATGCATTGTCTGTTATTTTTTTCAGGAAATTTTAGTCTGCAAGAAAATTCTTTTACAGAAGAATCCTTTTCCTGTAACGTTTGCAACTGTTGGTTATGTTTGCCATATTTCTGATATTTTTATCATAACAGAATTTTTCACAAAAATTATTTGACATTGAATTCTTATACAAATACTGCAAGGTCAAGCCTGCCCACCAACCCATCAAGGTGGTGTTGAAAACTGCAGTAAGGTCTATTGAATATAGTTAAAGTTCTGAATTTCACTCCATGACTTACTACTACAGAATATGGGGCTTTTTTATGATTAGGTACCAAACAAAAAAAAATGCTTTCTTGGCTCATTTGCATCAAGCCACCTGATATAATTCACAAAGATTATTTGACACTAGATTCTCATACAAATACTGCAAGGTCATGCCTGCCTACCAACCCATCAAGGTGGTGTTGAAAACTGCAGTAAGGTCTATTGAATATAGTTAGAGTACTGAATTTCACTTTATGACTTACAATTACAGAATATGGGGCTTTTTTATGATTAGGTACAAAACAAAACAAAGAAAGCTTTCTTGGCTCATTTGGATCAAGCCACCTAATATAATGCAATCAATGTCTTGTTTTCTGTATCGTGAGTCATTGCTCAGTTGGAATTGATATTTAAATCTTAATTATAATCATTTAAATATAACTGAATGTATTTCTTTCATTACTTTTCCACTGACTGACAAACCAGCAAGCCTTGAGGCATTAAACTGTGAGGACTTTAAAAAAGGCCCTATATTGTTTACACGTAGCTGCTTTGGGGGAGGGGAGTGGTAAAGTTTCAAATTTGGTTAGGAGTATGTAACACAATAATAATAATGATAATAATGTTAATAATAATAATAATTCATTTTTTCCATCCTTTGTTGCAAATGCATCTGACCCAAAGTCATTATTGGAACATACCAGAATAGCCTTTTTATTAATGCAAGGCCTCACTAGTGCACAGATATGATATGAAAATAATTTTCTCTTGTTTGAGGCATAAGTCAATTGAGGAATTACCAAGTGTAAAATTTCAAGTCAATATGGTCCAGAAACTACTCATTTTTGTAGAGGGTGGAGCTAGGAGGGGTGGAGAGGTCGAAATTATTAGTTTTGCGTACCGTTCTCACTCTTTGCACCCTGAGCACTCATACACGCTCACTTCAGATGGATGCTCAACACAGCAGCGTCAAAAAATTATCCAGCAAATGACTAAGACGTGCAAAGCTTCCACAGTTAATATAAATTTACCGCTATAAAGAGTTAAAAGGCCTTACAGATTTTACACGTAGCTTCTTTAAAGGTACAACTTCCTATGACGTTTTAACAAGATTATCAAGTTGTCAAATACGTATTTTCATATGATTGATACCAATTGCTTTATTGAGTCGAAATAAGTTTAATGTCAAGAATAAATAAGCGGATTACTACACTTACGACGAATTTTGTGGTCCGTTAAAAAGAGTACTTGGTTCAGTTACGTAGTTCACCGAAAGGTTAATTTTTTTTGCCTGCTAGGATTTCTTTTAACATTGAATACATTTTCAAGACCTGTACTCGGCGAGGTGCACTTCTTGCGATTGTTCTGCAATCTAGCGAGTCCTTCGGAAAAACGTCACCGAGAGCAGAGGTAAGACACTATTCAGAAGCAAGTATTTTCTAGGTTTGAAATTCCCTTCGGTTCCATTTGACCGTGAGTAGAGTTTAGAATTCTCGAAGAAAGCGTATTTTACCCAAAGGCAGAAGATTCGTATTTGAACGGAGCGCAGCGAGATAAGGTAATATTCTTTCACGCGAAAATGACAAAAAAATAGGGTTAACAGATAACTTCCCATTTGTTTTTTCCCGCGCAAGTAACAGAAATGTTCCCTTCCCTGTCCCCATCCAATCGCACTTCAACCAGTCGGGGGAGGTGAGTATAGAATTGTAAACAAATCATCAGAAGGCTTGGTTACCTAATTGAACCTGGTATCTAAGCTCCTTCAGAAAGTGATCCCAAAAAAATTTCTGCCACCCGAACTGTCACAACATGATCTCGAGACCGAAATTACGATTATCGTTATTTCTAAATTGGCACCAAATTTATGGATATAGTAATTTCGTGGCACTCTTTACCAATGCTCTTTACCGTGTTAAATAAAGAGAAGGACTCGGTTCCACTGTCTTACAACATTCAAGATGGCGGAGGAAAGGGGTAAATGTGCGTTCAGTTGTGATCAGCATGATCTCGACACCAAGATAACGATTACCGTTATTTCTAAATTGGCCCTGAAATAACGAATATCATAATTTCAGTGCATGTCTGAGACCTTCGGGCTCGAAGCTTGGGAACTAGTATTCAGGGAAAGATAAAATGGCGGCTTACGGCGGCGAAGGAAATCTCAGTAGTTTAATATTTAGCGTGAAAAGGCTTGGGTGTTGTGATCTGGTTCTCAAGTAAAAAAAAATCACGGTCTGCAATGGCCCTACCCCCTTTTGAACAACAAGAAAACATTGAAACGGTGGTAAAAAGCAGCAAGTTTCGAAGTCTAAACGAAAGATGGGTAAGCTGAGTTTCAGTCAAATATCATGATATTTGGGATGTAATTTCGATACCGATTAAATAGTTCTACATGGTTACACACGCATAGGATTCTGTTGTGTTCACGTGAAGGCCATTTCAGCCATTCCTGCCACTTGTGAGTGGTAGGAAATAAAAGATATGTATAGTTGTTTCGTATTGAAGCCCTGTGAAATCACAAATTTGATTTATTTCTTCTTTGTTTTAAGTGGTCATTATCCATTACTTTTGGAAGTCGATGCTGATGAGAAAGAAAAAATGTTTATGATTATTTCTTCTCTCGAACATTTTATTATTTAGGTACCAAATAATCTTGATACTGAAGATCATTGCATCCATTATGAAAAAATTACCCTTGATTGCTTTGTCAACTGGAATGTATAATGTAATATACCTTGTGATTTGTGGGATTTTCACAAGTAAACTAGAAATACTTGAAGAAGTTAATGATGTACTTAATGCAGAGCATTTGGTACAAAGTCTGCTTTGCTGTAATCTACCTGAAGGTGCTTTTTATATGCTAGTAAGACTTGCACAGCCCAGTCAAAATGTTTTTGAGTAGTAGAAAAGCTGGCCAAACCTCTTCCTGAAAAGCAGTCTGAAAAATGTGAAGTTAGCGGAAGGTACTTCATTGTAGGCGGCCAAATTGTAAGCTGCCAGCCCATTTTGAGTGAGCAGTAAAACTCAAGATTGGCTATTTTAGCTAATTTTATTGAGAACCAAATTCCCAGCAACGGGCACAATTTTACTGGGCTATTTGTTATTTAACTACTTAGTAATATTCTTATTAAAATTTACTGCATTCCTTTCTAATAATTTGCTGCTGATTGTATGCTGTATATAGCTTATGATTTGTGTGATTTTCACAAGTAAATTAGAAATACCTGAAGATGGTAATGATGTACTAGATAATGTACTTGATGCAAAGCTATTTTGGTGCAAAGTGTGTGCCTTGTCCGTAGGTGATTTTGCATACTAATAAGACTTGTAATTCAAATAATACACATCAGCTGGAGTGGGAATATTAAAAGAAAAATAATAATATTTAGCTATACCAAGTTCTGGTTTTATGTCCAAAGTGTGTGCCTTGTCCGTAGGTGATTTTGCATGCTAATAAGACTTGTAATTCAAATAATACACATCAGCTGGAGTGGGAATATTAAAAGAAAAATAATAATATTTAGCTATACCAAGTTCTGGTTTTATGTCCAAATTAAGCACTTAGTTGAAGATCACTGCACTGCTCAGGTCCAGAAGGCTGAAAGAGTACTGTCTGCTGTTAGTTTGATTTTTGTCATTTCTATTGATTTATTTTATTTATCAATGTTTCTTTGAATTGTAATTCATTGATCTCTTTCAATAGTGCAGGTTCGCTCATGTAACCTAATCTCCCACTTATGTATGTATGTATGGATGAGCTCAGTCAAAATGTTTTTGAGTGGAAGGCAAGCTGGTGATAGTAATAGGCAGCAGAGGCTGAACCTTGTCTTGAATGGAAGTGTGAAAAGTGTGAAGTTAGCAGCAGCTATATTGTGGCAGGCAGCCAAATTGTCAGCTGTGGCACATTTTGACTGGGCTGATTGTGTGTAGTATATATGTGCACTTCTTTTAGGGTGTTAAACAGGTTAAAGTACCAAGAAATCCTCTGTGATAACTTGATAATTCAAGATGTAAAAATTTTAAATAATAAGGTAAAGCTTGATCATTCTTAAGAGTTTCCATT